ACTATCGTCAAACCACACTAGATTTCCAAACCGTGTTGCAAGCTTTTCTGCCATTTTCTGAGTTCGCAACTCTGCAGGGAAGCCTCTAATCTGTATCCATAAATCTATCATATGCAGGTCTTCCACGCTGGCTTCTTAATCAGGTAACTTGATGCAAGAACGAGAATGTTATTCTCGTAATGCCACGGTCCTCCATAGCAGGCTTTATTTCGATCATCCATATCCAAAAACTGAAACGCAAAGAGTTTATCTCCCAGGTCAGTTATTTGAAAACCCTTCCTTGTGTTCCAAGCTTTCGCTAAAGCTATCTTCAATGATTTGATATTTGGTTGCTTTTCAGCTACTAGTCTTCCTACCAACCCAAGTCGACGCACAGCTTCCATCCTCACTACATCAACATCCAAATCATCCACCATCAGGGGCTCTTCATCCTCCTCATCAATAGCAAATTGATCGAGCTTTTCTAGCTGATCTCCAACTGAGTTGGTTGCATGATTCCCAACCTCAGGGGAGGTCTCCGAATCTCCCTTCTCCACACTGTCTGCCATTGTGTTCTTGCCTTGCTATCGAAAACAGCTCTAAGAAATACTATTGTTGTATTCCTTTGTTGTGTAATCAAACTGTAGATAGAAACTCTCCGCTATTGATTGCTTCTCTACCCTATAAAGGGTTTGAACGATGATTTCTCCGCAAAGGAAATTCACTCCTCCTTTTCGAACACAAAAACCCTAAAACCACCGAAAACCCCTAGGGTTCCGCCGCAATGCAGCTCTCGCTAAACGAGAGAGAAAAACATGGTATCTATCGGTTTTTTTCAAAACCATCTAAATAGTTAATCAAATAGAATCTATAACATTAGCTATGGCTGCACGAGATGCACTTACAAGTTACAATTGTACACAAAAAGAAAATAATGAGCCTAAACAGGCAACACCAAAGATTGCCAATTAGGGTTTTGTGGGAAATCAAATTCGGATACATTTTCTTTTCCAAACAGCTCTCCCCACTATACAGACAACACATACATATCCTTCCTCTTCATTCAAACTACAAGAGCGTCTAACATCACTAAAGTGGCAGCAAACTACAGAGTACAACAACACAAACACATTAGCTTACATGACAGAACATACACAGAAACTACAACAAGCGAATGGCTCTTCTGGTCCCATTCGGCGTTTCGCTCTAACCCATCTACACTTCTTACAAGATTGACATTAGTAAGTTGGGTGCATTCATTCGTTATCATCGATCCAATCACCATATATCCTGCTGATTTTATCTGGACCCTTCCATTTCTGATGAGCTCTGTGGCCTGATCTCGGGATAAGGATAGCTGATGATCTTTGAGACGGAACTCCGAGGTGATGATACGTATCGGAATGAGGGACTGAAGTCATTGAAGCAACCACTGAGTCGAGGGGTGTTTTTGAAGGCGCAGCTCCTGTCTTTGAGTCGGTAGCAGCAGCAGGAGAGTCTTTGGTGTCCGAGTCCACAAGCCCGCCTCCATACCGATGTAACTCTGCAGAAACAAAAAGATAATGAAAATGAAACCGAGCACGCTCAAAATGTATCATATAAAGCTGAAGGAAAGTAACTACAATCGAGCATCACTAGCTTAAGCACAACACGGTCGTTTTAAACTCAACAATGTTGGACTGTAGAAGAGTTCAGCAGAGGAACCTATCCCCAAGAAAGTCAAAGAAACATTAGAAGGTAACTGTACACTACCAACTTTTCACATTCCCACAAAGAATAGAGGAAAAGGATGAAGATTACATCACAATTATCTTAAACTCTGTCGCAGTCACCAAAACATAGAAACATGTAGGTGAGAAGGTAGACTCTTTGAACAGTAAGTTAGGGACTCCTGACACGTGAAAGAGATACAGCCGACTATTTCACACCAGAAGTTTCACAAGAACTGAATATATCAGCCACATGCGAGTTTAGTAACAATAAGTATATTTTAAGAAAGTTTGATGCACAAAAATAAGAGTTTATTGAAACTAGAATTGTTCGGAATCAATGGCTTGGCAAGTTGACAGCTGCTAATTCAATTCACCGATCATAGATAGGCTTCCAACTTCCGATATTAGAAATTGTCGCTGTGTGAGCTATCTATGGTACAGAGAAGATAAAGCTAGAGGTATATCAATTAATAGAAACGATTTTAATGTTGCAAAACTTGTAGTCTGTACTTTATGGACTGGGCGTATAAAAACTTCAGACTGAAATGGACCTTAGCTGTCAGGACTCTTCCTGTAAATGGTACACATCACATATGAAAGCACTAGAAGCCTTGAGACATAACCATCCCAGATGAAGGAAAGAGTTTCACTCCAATTCACATGATCCAAAAACTGTCCAACAAGCTCCCATGAATACGCCAAACACACAAAGTCCTTGGACGATAGTACAACACTTTTTTCACAAAGGCATGAGCTTAACCAACGACCCTCTGGCTATGAATTTAAAGGGCTAGTTGAATCAATGAAATGATTGTTCTGTCAGACTATGACTAGCAGTTTCCAGTATAAACAACCAACTACCAAGTGTGGCATGATACTCCACAACCACACGTATATCTTAACTTCCCTTTTCCTTTAAAGCTACTGATTGTTTCTTTAATTTCAAGCTCAGGCTACAATCAACATACATTCCGACTTCATTTAACCAATGAAATGCGCAATACATAATCCTTCCATTTATTCGTCACAACTTACTAGTTACTACATACATACAAATTCAAGTCCAGGATGGAAAGTTCAATTAACGGATACCATAAGTTGGGGATGGGATTAGGTGCTAACTCTTATAGGGGTTAGCACCGTGATAACTAGCAAAAATCACTACGGATTATTATAAAATCAATACAACATCTAAGCTAAATCACTACTAATTCAAACTAGTAGTAGTTTTTCCCTTGGTTAGGACGGTGCTAACTATTGTGCAATTAGCACCGTAGCCGTTCCCCATAAGTTGCCCTCAAAGGTTGTATGTCTACTGGTAGGCTAGGCAATAGACATACAACCAAAGTTTTTAAGTTCTATAATGCAATTATGCAGCCAAGGATCAATAATTCAAATCCTCCTAGGATGACCCCTAAACTTCTTTCCCAAATTGACATTATCGAAAATAGGAAACGTACATAAACGCCACTGATAAATGTTCAAAACTACACCAGATTTCATCATTGCTGTTTGACCGCAGTACACAATTACTTGCAATTAGACAAATTCAAATACACATCAAACAAGAGCAAGGCACAACATACCTGCAGATCCATGAGCAAAATGGCATTTGCTCCCAAATGGGCAATACCCAGTGAGTTCCCACTTATTACATATCCTCGTCTTCCAATTCGATGGCTTCAAATTCGCAGCAGCAGCAGCAGCACTTCCATTTCCCCCAACCACAATAACTCCGCTCCCTCCTCCACCTCCACCTCCGCCTCCTAACACTATGCTGCTACTACCAGCACCCACACCCCCACCACCTCCTCCTCCACCATATCCTCCAGGTCCCAAGCTTATCGCCACACTCTCCCTATGCCTGGACTGCTCATCATGCAAAAACGTACAACTCTCTCCATAAGGGCACCCTTCCTCAGTATAAAACTTCTTGCAATGCCTACCTTTATAAGACCTCTGCGTCTCAGCTCCAAATCCACCACCAACCGCAGGAATCTGAAACTCCTCCCTAATAATCTCGGCAGCCACATTATTACCTCCCTTTTCGTCCCCGTGAGCCGCCACTATATCCTGCCAGTTCGCTGGCGGACGACGAAGCTCCTCCATGCTGTGAGCAAAGTTGCAGTTGGTTATATAAGGACAAGTCCCTGCCCGAAACTTACAGCACAGCTTCGTCTTGAAGAACATCTTCCCAATCGTCTTCTTCGAAGCTTGCTCCTGTACCTGGGAACTCGCTGAATTTGACGAATTTGATGAACTTCCTTTCGTCTTCTTGCTCGGAGGTTCACCGCCGTCGGCGGTAAGATGATTCCAGGCGCGGTATTCGTCCTCAGTTGCCCAGACAGGAGCGGGATTGGAATCGGAAGGTTTCGGAATCCAATACTCGCCGGTTTGAATCACATGGACGACATTTCCATCCCTCCTACTGTAATCCATTTCCAAACCCTAACATGGAAGAGGCGGGAAAAAAGTTTCTCGTCCTCCCTTTTCTAATCAGATCCTGAGGAAGACAATGAAATAAATACCTAAAGGAAGAACTAGTAAGAGCCCACGACGAGGATTAGGTTCAGCTCCAATGGGTTGCTCTGGAATTCTGGAAATTCGCCGTCGAGTTGCATTCAGAGCGTGGAGAAAGAAGGCTCACAAAAAGATTGAAGAACTCGTTGCAAGTATGGCGCCAACTATGGCAGTGGAAGTCGAAGAGGAGAAATGAAAATTGGGGTTAGATCCAAAAGGGTAAGTAGCTATGAATCAATGGAGTGTGAAGAAAGATGAGTTGAAGAAGCCATGGAAGTGGGACGAAGAAGGAAGCAACCGTTCTATATTGATTTACAGTGTACGGAAGGGATAAGGAAATAAATGCGCAGAGGAAAAAGGAAAGTTGGAAGGATTAAATAGTAGTTTTGTTTTCTTGAAATTTGGCACTTTATTCGTTTGGTGGGAAAAAGACTTTCCGCCCTCAGGTACTTAATACCAACTTTTCAAGTCTTCCAACTTCAATCCTCTTCTTTTTGGGGGTTCCAGATTAGGTCACTTAAATCTCTTGCCTTTCATATTTTGATCTATTAATTTTTCTTAATTCCCAAACTAAATCACTGAATATTTTTACCTTGCACATTTAGCAACAAGAAAAAGTCCAACTTCGTGATGATCAGTTGCTATCACAAGACAATTATAGCACATATGTCATCGAGAAACCACAAAATACTAGTAGCTATATAAACAAATAAAATATTATTGTTATTGTTTTTAATTTTTATTGATCAACTTATATACAAATTTTATGTAATGAAAATGTTAAACATAGATCTGAACTATAAACAAACTAGTCGGTCCTAGACTTGATGAAGTGTTTTGAATATTGAAAGTACGAATATAATGTATTATCAGGTTGCAATTCTTCACCGTCTAGCTTAAGCACTTAAAAGTTAACTATATGGATCAAGTTAACAATAACGTTCTACAGAAAAATAAGCGTAAATTAATGGACTTAGTTGACTCAATTTGAAGTTTGGGTACTCTATAGATGAAGATAATAAAAAGTAAGGGATCAAAAAGTGTGGTTGTGGACCCCACTTTGTCTGAATCGGTGCTGCTGGTACTTGGGCGCGAATTTCTAAACCTAGCCCTCCGCTTCTTCGCTCCACCAAAATCCCATTTGGCGGGAGAGTGAAGACTGAAGAACAGAGAGAGTGAGAGATGAGCTCGTCGGCGGTGGAACCAGAAGCCGCCGATTTGGTTTGCCAACTCGAGAACGTCCAAGGCATGGTCGACTCCCTCTCCGCAGTCCGCTGGAAGCGCCACCAGGTTCCCGCCACTCTTTTTTCCACTCTAGAATTTTCTTTCCACGCCGTCTGATTCCTGATTTCCGGTCTTCCGTCGTGTCCAGGACGCGGTGGTGGAATTGTCGGAGCATGGAATCGTGTTGATCCTGGAGGAGAGCAACTGTCTTCAAGCCAAAGTCTATCTTCGCAAGGAGGTAATCTAATTGAATCGAATCGATCAATTTTCCCCCCAACTCTTTCCCCAAAACTTCTGTTCGTTTTAAGGATTTGGGATATGGAACTGTAGTTTGATTTAGGGTTTGTTCCGGTAGCTTTTCGCTCAATATGATTACAATGCGGAAGAGCGGCCGCGGTTTGGAGTTAGCTTGGGCCTGTTCGTCGATTGCTTGAGCACATTTACTGTTCCTGGGCGTGCCACGGCTATTGAGATTCGATATCCTGGACCTGACATGCAGCTTCTTCTCAAGTATGTATGTCCATTTCTGTTTTTCGATTAGCGTTTCGAGCATTTCTTTGGCCAGAGTGCGATTTTGAGGCTTGAGAATGCAACTATGATTGGCGGAGAGAGTTCTTGGATTACACCAGTTGCTTTTGAATTTGATAGCCTTTATCTGCTGCTTCATCTCAAGTACTTGTGTCCACTTCCATTTCCGTCAGTGTTCTATCATTTCTTCGACTAGGGCCGTGAGCTCGATATTGAGAATGCAAACTATGTTTGTTAGTAAGAGGGACAAGTAATGTTCAAAGTGGATTACAAGAGCAGTTGCATATCGTGTCTTGACAAGAATGTTTCATGCCGAGTTTGATTCCCACTATTTTCAGCTGTTTTCTGGTTTTCTTACTATGAAAATGCTTGTGATGATAAGTAAGTCTTGATTCTGGAAGCAAAGAGATGAATTTCTTGTGGTGTGATCTTTGTGACTTCCAGCTAGAATTGAAGATTGAAACCTCTAATTTAGAAGGCGTTTGATTCGCATTTCGAGGAAAACTGAGGTTTGGATGAAATGCGCCTGACTTGGTTCACCTTATATGCATTATAGATCTCTTGATTCATCAGATGCTTGCATCTATGCGGAGATCAGGACGATAATCCCGGACACAGTTTCCTGGGACTACAACTTTGAACCTGCTGGAAGTGTGCCATTAAGTTTTACTGTGAAGGTACGCACAGTTACATTACAAGGATATTGGCTTGTAGGCTTTAGCTAGCATTTAGCATATGCAATGAAACTACAGATCTGGAAACCAACTGGATTTCTGTAACAGAATGTACACTTTTGGGTCGATAATCCTAATCCATGTTACCGGTTTGGCAATTTACAGTACATTCTTCCCCCTGAAATAAGTATCTGAAATCATGTCTCCTGTAACCTAGTCTGCAGCGCTGAAAGAAGCCATCGACGATCTCGAATGGCCTGGTTCCAGCATACGCATCAACCTCAAACCAGCACCTCCATCCGTCTCCTTCAGAGGAGAAGGGCATGGAGATTTGCAGGTACATTTAACAATATGTTTGTTTTCTTTCTGTAACTACCTTCCCAGGCATCTAAAAACGTTTCTTTATTTTGTTTCACTGCAGATTGATCTCATGTACAATGCAAATAGTGATCTGTTACTAGACTTCAACTGCAACCGCCCAGTGTCCCACAGATACAAGTACAAGTTTCTCCGGGCAACAACATCCAATCTACCGAGCAGCGTGATGAAGGAGAATCGAGGAAGCAAACTCACCATTGGCAGAGGCGGAATGTTGAAAGTTCAGCATCTGGTGCCAGTTGGGAGAGCACCATTTCCAAATCCACATGTTATTGATTCAGCTTCCCATCAACAGCAGCCTGGCCGAATTGCTTACATCGAGTTCTTCGTGAAGCCTGAGGAAGAGGAAGATGATGCCAGGAATGATTGATTGATCAGTCAATGTATGAACTATGAACTGTTTCTCTTTGACCATAGATGAACTTCTCCATGTAGTGGTATCTAGCATGAAATGTATAGGAAAATAGTACTCTTAAAGACAGTTGTGACACCAGAGTAAAACTGTAACTCCGTTGACGAATCATACAAAAGTCACACTAAAGTGTAAAAACATTTCACCATAAATATCAACAATATGAAAACCAAACTTATAAAATTAACTAGATTTGAATCATCGTTGAAAAAACATGATCATTTACTTGCAATTTTACGTAAACGACAAGGTTTAGTAGGCTTCGCTGTCACTCATGTCACATGTGGCATGTGGGTTGCTGATGTTCCTGGGTTATCAAATAAAATTCTAAGTAATCGACAAGATAATCAGCTACCACATTACCCTCGCGATAAAATAGTAAATAAGTAGACTCTCAATAAGTGAGTAACAAAAAGTCAAAAACTGGATACCCTTCTCCCTCGTAAAAGAAACGTTTCGTTGTATTGTCTATTCTCGTTTTGGTCGCAACAAGTCGTCGGCTCGTCGCAAAGCCAAGAGAGCAACAAAAAGAAAATCCCAACCTCGTAGCTTCGCTCTCTTCTTTCTTTCCATCCCCTTCATCCATCAAGGAATCGCCAGAAAGAATCTCGTCTTCTGAAACTCCCCTGAGGTACTACTACTCACCTAATCTCTTTCGATTCTTCCTTCTAACTCGCTTTCTCCCGATGCTCTCAGCTTTTGAATTTATCCCTCCTTTATGATTACTCGAAGTTACAATCAAACAATTGCTCGCAATTTGAGATGCTTTTGGCTTGAATCGTTCATCGCATCTGTATCGCCTGGAACCCATCTCGAGTAGCTTTGAAATAAACCAGAATAACAAAAGGGCTCTCCTTTTCAATTTTTGGGGGCTGCTGAGATCGACATGGAAATGGGTTTTCTTTGTAGTGCATAGACGAATTGATTCCAGCTCTCTTGCTTGAATGGGACTTGAGATCCTTCATGTTCTTCGATGAGCTATTTGTTCTGTTGAGTGCTCAACTAATGTGCAGGACTGAAATGAAATGTTCAGAAGCGATTTGATTTATGCTGTTACTAAAATTTCTAGTGTAGCGGATAATTGGTAGGGGATATGAACGATTGATCTTCTGAATCGGCAACCGTTTCTATCGAATCAGCAACATTGTTGAAATGGGACTCTACAGCTGTTTTAACTTCAATGAGACAATGACCCTTGTCAGAAAAACAGGGGATATGTTGCAGTTGTTCACTTTAAGAAGATTCAGGTGAAGAAAATTTGGTTTCTTTACTGTACTGAATGTACTAGGTTCAATGTTGACTCCCCTTTTCCTTATTAGATAAGGGTTGCGGAATCTATGACATATATACTGTAATGTACGCGATTATTGTTGCATTTGTTGATTTTGTATGTCTAGTCTAGTTAAAGCTGAATTCTCTAGTTGCGGAAAGGATTTGTATCCTTGGCATGCAAGTGTTAAGCTTTTGTTGGTGAAAAACTTCATTGTGTAACTATGGAAACATCTCATTTCACTGCAGTTGGTGGTGGTGGAGGTGTTATACAAGATGGGGAAAGGGCGCATCGATATGGATGCAATGACTCGTCGTCTGAAGAACCGTGAGAGGCAACGTAGATACAGGGCACGCAAACGCCTTGAAGCAGATATGGACAACGGTTCAAGGGTGGTTAGCCGGCCCATGCATGTACAACCGGAGGCTATAGTAGAAAACCGTCAAGAAATGAGTTATGTGTCTCGTGTTCATTCGACTCGAAAATGGAAGAAGGATGCAAGAAGAAGACGAGCTCAATTAGGTACTAGTTCTGCAGATAAACGTGCTGCTGCTGTAATCTCTGATCTGGCCACCTCAAATAATGGAATTTCAGCACAGCCAATTTCGACATCTGATTTTCAAATGGCAAGCAATGGACTCAACAAGCCGAAGCTTGGTCGAAGAAACTGGAAGGCCGAAGCGAGGAACAAGAAGTGATAAAGAGCGAGCATGCAGCATCAGACTTGTCTGTTGTATAATGACAGTGTCGAACTGTGAAGTTTGCTAATGGCGCGATGTGTATTGATCGATATATATCGTAGTTGGGAATGGTTTGCATATGAGATAGAAACTCTTGTTTTTTTTAACTGTGCAATGTGGTAAGTTCTTGCAGGTTGCAGGATAATAGATATCAGAAGGCAATGTTATGCTCTCACCCGATTCCTTATAGCTTCACATGTCAGTTGTTAGGTTCGTGGTTCTGTTGATTCGACTTGTTGATACTGTTGTGGGTTGATTATTAATAAGAACTCTTTTCATTATTAATTTGGGGGAAACAGCTCGCTGATAAGACCATACGGGTCGTTTGGATGCATCATTTTGGTTCTATGGTATTTCGAATCCAAATGATGCATTATTTTGCTATGTGGCATTTCATGTGGTATTTCATTTTGAAATGTGGCAATTGGTGTAATTGTCTTGTTTGGATAAAACATTCAAATATTGTGGTATTTTTTTTCTCTCTTCCTGTCCCGTGTCAGTTTCGTGTCTTTTCGCTCCTTGGAGCTTTCATGGAGCTGCCCATTTGTGGCATAACAAGCTCTTTTATCGGGAGTCCAGCTGCATACGGGCTACCGTTCTTTATTATTATATATTTTGTATTCCTGTTGTCCGGCCATGCCCGAGGGGCTTATCTTGGATAAAAAAAAAAAAAAGAAGGGATGAAGTGGAAAAAGAAGTTGGGAGATGAGGTATTTGAAATAACTAGGGGGTGGGTAGGTATTTCAAATAACTCACAATGAGTTATTTCAATGGACTCATGGACAAAATACCACATTCTACTTTATTTTTGCCAAACGAGTTATTTTGATTGAAATACCTCATTCTGAGTTATTTCGACCAAATTACCTCATCAAAATATTGCATCCAAACGACCCGATAGTGATTTGTAGTCGTCACTCCCTGCGTTATATCTCTTCTGATGTTGCGAGTTACAGCAGGTAATCCATGGGGAAACAATGTTAATTGATGATTCACATAACTTAATTCATATACATTGCTCAAATTTAATTCATGATTATTCACCAAAAGGAAGTTAATTGGTGATTCACACGAGTCAATTCATATACATGTAATTAAGGGTCATACAACAATACATCAATAAAGACAGCCTGGAAATGGTTTTGTGACTTCTGGTCTCGGTTTTTCTTCTCCAGTTCTCTGATCCAAAAGACTTTTCTTCTCTTCAGTGGCAAATAATTTCTAATCAACCACAAAATTAACAAATTCATGAGGTAGACATGTATGATTCATGTACCACAGCATAATCTATCAGGTTTAATCTATTTTTTTCGATAGGAATTTCATGTCATTTTTTGTAATTCTGAATAAGGACTCATGTCAAACTTGAAAGGAAATCATTATCATGTCAATGAGAGAAGAAAAAAAACTATATATCCATTAGACTTTAAACAACAACATTAAAAATATGTTTGTGATGACTGATAACTATGATTTCCATCAATAATCACATGAAATTACCAACAAATGTGATAGAAACGTGATTAACGATAGTGAAAATTAATAAATTATCATGTGAGTTTGATGATCGCAAATCCTATTTTGAAAGATGAATAGCCCCATAAACATAATAATTAAATAGATTAGGTTGAGCATTTATCTGTAATCACAATTCTAATTGGTAATTCTTACCGGCTGCTCTCAAATTCTCGAAACTCCAATCCCTTCTCATCCCAGAGCTCCTTATCAATTTGGGCTCGACACCATCTGAATTGAAAGTAATGGTTGCACTGTTATTCACTCGTCGAGAATTTTTCTTCACCATCTTAGGAATTTTCTCATACTCTCGTTCTGAGTCCGTCCTCGTCAAAGATTGGCAAGTCAGACAATTCAAACTCATATTTGCTAATGAACAAAGAGGAGAAAATATTATAATTAGTTGGCCCTAGAGAACTTTTCGTTCCCACTCTCTAAAGTTTGATCATGATTCACAAATCTTCTTCCCCAAGAAATTGAACAATGATTAAGTTCTTTAATTTTCTTGGGGAATTTGATTTGAAGGGGAAATCAAAATTTTGAGAGAGATCATACACAACCTCTTTCTTCCTCCATGGAAGAGTGGGTATCACAATTTAAAGGCAATTTGGAAAGGTCAATCTAGGGTTAAAAACAGAAGTGGTAAGTTTGAAATTTGTTATTTGGCAATCTTTTTACCGTATTTTGAAATTGTTTTACTTTGTTGGTCTTTTAGTTTTTGCCAATAAAATTTGGTTTTAGTTTTAATCTTGCAACACCACCCCAAAATTTGCTTTGCCTTTAATTTTATGGAAGTATCATATTATGCTTATGTGTATGAAAAATGGAAAGGAAAGGATACATAAACTATATGGTTTTCTATGTTAAGATATCTTTACTCAACAATTAAACCTATAATTCCATAAAAATAATAATTTTTGTTTATAGAATCTCTACAAATATGTAGAATAACAAATTTGATGTAAACCACCTTTATAGGGGATTTGTATTGGGGATCGTTATTAAGTCATTTGTAATCATGTTTATTCTACCATAGATTAATTAAAAGTATATTCCCGTATAAAATATCAAAGACAAAAACTCCAATTAAAAAAAGACCTATTTATACTTACAGGTTACACTGCTATGATTCTGGAGTACACGACTATATATTCCAGTCGCTTTTTTATTACGAAAAAATTAAGGACGTGTTCTTACCACATTGCTTAAATTTGCCATAGCTCCTACTTTTTCTACAAAATAGAATTGTGATAGTTAATCCGTGGAAGACTAGGATTCATCAAACTATCAAAAGAAAGAATCGTAGAAAACAAGAGAAAATAGTACGTAGTTTTCAATAAAAACATTATTGGCATTTATAAATAAAAAAAATTGTACTAGTCCAGAAATGGATCCATCAATTAATTGCAGAACAAATTATACAATCAGATTACCAGTCAATTCGAGTTATAAGACGAACAAAATATGAGTTAAAAGTATGTTTTTGTCTATATATTATCAAGGAGTGTTCATTAAGTATCGAGAATAGTGACTAATCCCTCTTGTCATGGGTGGTCATACGAAGTGGTAAAGTGAAAGTTGCTCCCGGAGTGAGTTCTCAGTCCCAAAGATCGACAATGTGATCATATCATTTTTGAATTGTTATCACCGAATTTACATAAGGGTAGGTTAATTTAATGTGAATTTGTTTCCAAAAATAATCAAAATAATCAAACTGCTAGTTTGAACTTTATTCTAAGGTATGTGATATGTGTTTAGTGGTCGTTTCTCAATAAGTAAAAGGTGCGTTTAAATCAATTCAAGGAAGATTCATTGTCCGAAAACATCTAAAAATTTATTAAGAAGGCCATGTCGCATTGTTTCTTAACTGTAATTTAATTTGTATAAGAGTTAGGATTTTGATATGGTGACTTGCAAGTCATCGTGGCTTGGAGAAAATGCTCAACCACGTCCGAAAAATGGTAGACCGGATGACACACTTATCTTGTTGTGATAGAACAACATCGTTACGAAGGAAAATAGCAGTGGACCGCTCAAATAGAACGGTCGATTGATCAGCCATTAACCTATTAGTGTTAGAATAGGATTCCGCCACTAGAAGTGTTTCACTATTGCAATGAGGCTCCGCCATTACAAAGGAAAATAACGATCAATTAGTACAATAGAATGGTCGACCTGGTTGACCATTACCTTATCAATGTTGGAACCACCTAGGAATTTTTTTGTACTAAAGAAGGACTTTGCAACCGTTTAACCCAAGTTAATATCAACATAAAGCTCTATAAACAATCACTCATTATTAGATTATCACTCTAAAAATCGTATAAAAAAATTTAAATTTTGTGGCTTTGAAGCTTAGTGAAGCAAAAGGCCGATCGCTATTTTCTTTTGTGGTAATGGACTCCCGTTATAATAAGATAAGTAATATATCCAACGATCGTTTTTCAAAAATAATCAACCATTTTTTCCTAATCACGGTAACTTTATAGTCACCTTAAACATACCCTAAAAGTTACTGTACCATGAGCACAAGTAAAATATTTGTAGTGTGAAGGCGAAAGAACTAAAGAAGTAGGGTTTTGGTGATTTGCTAGCAATAAGATGGGATACATTTGTAAGCATAGAAACAAAAAAACAAAGAAGAGAGTGTTGGTTATACATGAAAATATCCACGTATTGTCCCTTTGTTTTTATCTTCTTTCTCTCCCTTTTCAACTCTTCCCTTTGGCTATATCTTCCCTTCTGGTAATTGTTTATGAAGATTAAGCTGGTTTAATTACAACTAATCGTGTTTTTGTCTTACCACTATCTAGTAAATTTAATGTTTGTGTTTATCATGTTGTTTACTTAGTGGTTTTATAAATGCTTAGTTGACACATTCTTGATGGCTATGAGCTTGTGAATTTTACTATTACTATGGGGTTAATGAGTCAAGTTGAGGGGCAAAGGACGGTTTTCAAACATAGTTGACATTGGAGTCAATAATGCACTTCTTAGAAAGAATTAACCCAGCCAAATAACGAATTTCAATGTGATCATATATAAAATTGAACAATACTTTTTACAACTATGGGTGGGCAATGATCCAATTCATACAGAACCAAATCATATTGATCAATCGATATTTGGACCTAATAAGATCGCATCAGATATTTTTTGATTCGGTTTCGATCCTAAAAATTATTTTAAGTATGAACAAATGGGCCAAGATAAAACTTGGTTGGACTGAATCAAACCAAATGAACCAAAAATTGCTTTTTAATCCGATTCTAATTCTCATTTTTCCTTTATTTTAAATTCGATCCTGTCATGATTCTCAATATGATTTTGGACCTAATCAACGGTTAAACACCCGGTTATAGCAACAAAATGCAGAGTCTACACTTACCATCAACCCATACATTTTACAAATTCAAGACTATGACCTTCATTGCAGGCTGTCTTCCAGAGTTTGAGTAGAAGTGGTTCTTCAGCAGTTTGACTTCTGCCTATTTATTCTAAAAATTATTGATTTCTCCATTCCAAAAAAAATTTGGCTTGTAGAACTTGGAATTTCGATGTTTAATTTGCACCATCCATCTATTGCGCTATAAAACGAATGACTAACTTCAAATGAAAAGTAAACAAGATTGCGGGGCTAAAATTTTGATAAAAAGAGCTCCATTGATTATTTTTGGTTTTATATGCTGTTTCTTGTCTTTGATGTTCACAATTTTGCTTAATTCTAAAGTATAATTTCTCAATTTCCTCCCCACAATTTAATAATTGGGGTCGCATGTGCCAATTCCAAGTGGTCGAGGAACCTTTCTGTGGACTCCTCCTAAACTCATTAATCACGCTTAATAAAAATCTATGTTATCTTTGGCAAATGGACGTTACAAGCAATGAATCAATAAGAGAAGTTTAAACGTTGTTAAACTTAAACACGACTTTCGCTAAACAAAAATACTATTATTAAACCCACTTTTGTCCTTTGTTTTGTTTAATAATGTTTTGTCTGGACCAATGAAGACAAACACATGATTCAACGAGAGCTCACTATGATATTAAAAAAGAAAGACAACGAGTGGGAGTGGGAGGACTGACGAGTTTTATCACATGGGGAAAAAAGTGGTTATACTCACACGTGCCCACGCGGCAATGAAACTATGTGGGGAGAAAAAATGGAAATTTTGGGGGGAAATAAGAAAGGGTCACCAAACAAAAACGTGTGTGAATTGTAAATACCGAAATCATTGGATGTAGTTAGGGTTTATGTATGGTCTTAGTTCGGTTTGGAATGAGATTGAATCAAAATTGAGTGGATTGAGAATTGGAATACAAATATTTGTATCATTTTGGTTTTAATCGTATGTTTCGTTTATTTGATCTTATTTAAGCATAGAAGCTTGTGTAAAGGCGGAGATGCTTTTGATTTACGCTTTGACGATAAAGTTAGTTTAGAATATGAAATATGTAGAGAGAGAATTTGGAGAGAAAATTCAAAACTACATATTCTACTTTCATGAGTTTATGTTGATTTCGATACCTGTTGTTTTATTTGTTTGTTTTTATAACAAAACCACATTTTTTTATGGGAGAACTAAACCTCATAGGAAAAAGATGTAACATCGTTCCAATCGAAATTTCATGTGTGCACTGAATTATTATCATCTTAGATGTAATTGAGGTGTGTTTCCAAGACAACTTATTTAGACAGATAAGCCATGATTAATCCAAGCAGCATGGTTGATCTCACTCCTTTTGTAGATTACTAGCTGGAGCGCATCAAGTCGCCCGTCGACCAGTACTATACCAAATATGCTTTCTAGGTTCATCAGGAGATCGATTGATTCCGGGCCATACATACATCCAGAGGATCCCGCTGAACCCCACAGATAGAGAGCTCAGCTTAGAAAGCAATGGCGCTCCAAGCCAACCACTGGAAGGCCATGCGCTTGCTGATGTGGCCGTGTTGGTTACCTAACAGTGACACGATCGAGGAAAAAAATCACAAAAGATCGACAGAGAATGGATAGGTTTTAACAGATTCTTCTCATTCAATCAATCTCCAACTCCATTAATGAACAATAAACTTCCATTACACATAACACAACTGTTAGTCAAATACACCAACCAAACATCACCTAAACAACAACCTATAGATTATATTATGGAGAGAGAAGATTTTCTCCCAAAGGTAAGGAGGGCGATCCAAATCCAAAGGGCTACTCTACGCCTGCGCGGACGCAAATTCTTTTGCCTACTTTTGTTTTTTCATTCATTTATTAGGATTTTCTTTTCATATACTTTTTGTAGCTTCTTTCATCTTTTCTTCTGTTGTCTTTTTTCAATGATTGTGTTTGTGTCTCCCGCGTACGTAAGAACTTAAAAAAAAGCGTTTAATATATATAAACATGAAGCGAGATTACTGTTTACTAATAGTATTTGAAAATTTATAGATTAGTCACTATAGTTTACATTTTACATTTTGATACTTCAACTTTAGTTTTTAATGTAAAATATCATTAGAAAGTTATGTTTTGAAGAAGAAGTTTGATTAATGTTCACTAACAACATTTGAAAAATAACCGTTTACTAACTATAATTTAAGTTTTATATTTTGATACCCCAAATTTAATTTTTAATTTAAAAAATCATTAATTATTTTTATTTAGTATAAGATTTTAGTACCTATAATTTTTTTAAATTTATATATTGGTACAATGTTTAGATATCACTTGGATACATGAATCCAATCCAC